AGTGTTTTGTACCGCTGCCCCTCCTTCTTTTCTCAAGTGCTCCTCACTGACCCCGGCTAGCTCTACTGATCACGTCCTTCCTTCTGGGAATAGCTGGACCAGCGGTCGGCAAACTCATTAGTCAACAGAGCCAAATGTCAACAGTACAACGATTGAAATTTCTTTTGAGAGCCCAATTTCTTAAACTTAAACTTCTTCTAACACTACTTCTTCAAAATAGACTCGCCCAGGCCTTGGTATTTTGTGGAAGAGCCACACTCAAGGGGCCAAAGAGCCGCATGTGGCTCGCCAGCCTGTTTGCAGACCCCGGGGCTAGTCCCTAGACTTCACTGTACAACACCGGGTGGGAGCCTGCTCATTCACAGAGGCTACCATGTGAACATACCTCATTGTGCACAAGGTGCCCATCTGCCTTCCGCAGGGGGTCACTGCCTGGTCTCTGGATTCTGTCCTAGAGGTCCTTGTTCTGTTATCTTCTGGCCTGTATCATCAGCTTCCATCTCTCCATAAACTCAACTTGTTATGCTTACTGATGTGCGAACATTTCGTTCATTAAAATATTATAATACCTCGGGCCCTGATCGGTTTGGCTCAGTGGATAGAGCGTCAGCCTGTGGACTGAAGGGTTCCAGGTTCGATTCCAGGTTCAAGGGCATGTACCTTGGTTGCGGGCACATTCCCAGTAGGGGTTGTGTAGAAGGCAGCAGACTGGTGTTTCTAACTCTCTATCCCTCTCCCTTACTCTCTGTTAAAAAAATCAATAAAATATATTTTAAAAAAATAAAAATAAAATAACATAATACCCCAAATGAAGCAAAACCAAGGAAAACCGAATCCTTTCTGGATGAAGTCCACTCCTCTAAGCAACAGCCTCCCCCCTCCCCCCCCCTCACAAAAGGCACACACACAAGCCGTGTGTCCTTGTCCTTAGTGATGATAATACCTTCCTGGAGGCTGTTTCCCTGGATTGTCACATGCCTCTTTGCGGCTCTCCCAGCACCTCTTACTCTTCTCTTTGATTTTTCCTTCTGCACCGTTTGCCACAGGATCTTTCATAAAATACAATTCTGTCTCTATCATCTTCCTGTTCACATTCCTACAATCACTCCCCATCATTTTCAAGAGAAAAATCTAAACTTCTTAATAAGGAGTAGATGATGTTACCTGTTTAGCTTCGTCTCTTAAACCACCCTTAGCTTCTCCTTCATTCTGCATTCAGACGTCCCAAATCCACTGCTGAACCTGCTGCTCTCCTGAACGTCCTCCTCACTGCCCTGCGTGTCCTTGCACGTGTCTTTGTATGTTTTTTTTTTCTCTCCAGGAGCACCCTTATCTTGATTTCCCTGCCCACTAAACTTCTACATAACCTTACTTCAAAGTCCTCTTCTTTCAGAAACCTTCTCTGATTCTCATCTCCCCAGATGGTCTGTCTCCTTCCTCTGTCCTCACACAGGCCCTGAGAACTATAGTTGAAGCTTCTTAAGAAGAGCACCAGAACCATATTTCCCAGTGCTTAGTACACAACAGACACAGTAAATGTGTATTCAGTGATAATTATTTAATTTTTCTTCACTTGTTCTCCAAACCCATAAATGCAGCATTTATGTCTTCCATTCGCTGAATCCCCAGGTAGCACCTAGCAAGTATGACATAACTAGATCTCAACAAAGATAAACAACTGTTGAAGGAACCAACAGGATAACTACCTCCAAACTCTCGCTCTTCCACCAGCTCTGCATGTGGTTGCAAGATTACTTTTTCTGATCTACCAGCTTACCAAGGTTTCCATCAGGGATCCCTCCCCAGCTAAAATTCTAGTGGCATCCTATGACCTGTAGAATGAAGCCAACCTTCATTCTTTTGGGTAGAAATGGTCTTTCTTTGATCTTCACAGATTCTCTCCTCCTCCCACTTCTTATCTTAATTCAGGCCTTTCCTACGTACTCAAATTAAAATTGTCATTTAGTCGTGAACCTGATTTAGTTTTTCAGTGCCCCCATATATTAAAGCTAAAATGTCCTTCTTCATGGGCCTTTTCCTATTTTGTTTTCCTAAATGTCTTGCTATTGCCTCCCTCACTAGAAGGTAAGGGCCAAGACTACATCAAAAAACTGTTAAGACTTAATAAATGAATTCGGCAATGTGGCAGGATACAAAATTAACACCCAGAAATCTATGGCCTTTTAAAAATACACCAATAATGAAGTAACAGAAAGAGAAATTAAAAAAAAAACAAAACTCAACTGATACAGTTCCTAGGGCAATGGAAACTAAGGAGAAAATAAACAAACGGGACCACATCAAAATAAAAAGCTTCTGCACAGCAAAAGAAACCATCAACAAGCCGAAACTGGTTTGGCTCAGTGGACACAGTGTCAGCCTGCAGACTGAAAGGTCCCGGGTTTGATTCCGGTCAAGGGCATGTACCTTGGTTGTGGGCACATCCTCAGTGGGGGGTGTGCAAGAGGCAGCTGATCGATGATTCTCTCTCATCGATGTTTCTAACTCTCTATCCTTCTATCTTCCTCTCTGTAAAAAAATCAATAAAATATATTAAAAGAAAGAAAGAAAGAAAACAACAAACCATCAACAAAAACAAGAAAGCCCACTGCATGGGAAAACATATTTACCAATGCTATCTCAGATAAAGGTTTACTCTACAAACTTTATAGGGAGCTCACACAACTTAACAAAAATAAGATAAACAATCCAATCAAAAAATGGGCAAAGGACGTAAATAGACACTTTTTGAAAGAGCACATACAGAAGGCCAAGAGACATATGAAAACATGCTCAAAGCCACTAATCATCCGAGAGATGAAATCAAAATGACAATGAGGTACCATTTCACACCTGTCAGAATGGCCATCAACAAATCAACAAGCATCAAGTGCTGGTGAGGATGTGGAGAAAAAGAAACCCTCGGGCATTGCTGGTGGGAATGCAGACTGGTGCATCCGCTGTGGAAAACAGTATGATGTTTCCTCAAAAAATTAAAAATGGAAGTCCCATTAATCCCACTTCTGGGAATATATCCCAAGAAACCAGAAACACCAATCAGAAAGGCTATATGCACCCCTCTGTTCACAGCAGCACAATTCACCATAGCTAAGATTTGGAAATAGCCTAAGTGCCCATCAGAAGACAAGTGGATTAGAAAACTGTGTTACATCTACACAATGGAATACTACGTTGTTGTAAAAAAAGAAGGAATTCTTATCATTTGCAACAGCACAGATGGAACTAGAGAGCATTATGCTAAGCAAAATGAGCCAGTCAGAGAAAGATAAATACCAAGTGATCTCACTTATTTCTGGAATATAATTAACAACATAAACTGATGAACAAAAATAGATCTGGAGACATAGAAGCATTGAACAGACTGTACAACCTATGAGGGAAAGCAGGGGGTAAGGGGGTTAGAGATCAACCAAAGGACTTGTATGCATGCATATGAGCACAACCAATGGATACAGACAGTAGGGGGGTGAGGGCTTGTGCTTGGAGGAGAGGTCAATGGGGAAAAACAGGAGACTAATGTAATACTTTAACAATAAAGAATTTAAAAAAAATCCCATTTACCAGTGCAACAAAAAATTTTAAGATACCTAGGAATAAACTTACTAAGGAGGTAAAAGACCTGTACTTGGAAAACTACAGGACATTGAAAAAAGGGATAAAGGAAGACATAAACAAATGGAAGAATACTGGTATAGTGTGTTCATGGATTGGTAGAATCAACATCATTAAAATGTGCATACTACCCAAAGCAATCTATAGATTCAATGCAATCCCCATTAAGGTACCAGCAGAATATTTCACAGATCTAGAACAAACTGTCCAAAAATTCATATGGGGAAAAAAATTCTTAAGGAATAGAATGTAAGGGTCATAAACACCAAGGCCTGGTTGACTTAGTTCATTGCTTCATCCCCTGTCCTAGAACCAGAAGGTTAAGTGCTAAACATTGTTCAAGGAAGGAAAGACTGAATGTAAAAGTAATTCCAACGAGCATTCAAGGTCTCTGATGGCTTGGCCTCACTCTACTGTCCCAGCCTTATTTTCAGCTGTTTCCCAAACACCCACCGTGCCTCCTAACTAGGCCCATCTATAAGATCCTTATCTTCATTTTCTTCCAATTTAAATTATCTTCCTCTTTTAAGTCAAGCTAAAACTCCACCTTTTCTATAAAACAATCCAAAGTGGTAATCTCACCCAGCTGATGTGGCTCAGTGACTAAGCGTTGAACTATGATCCAGAAGGTCATGGTTCGATTCCCAGTCAGGGCACATGCCCAGGTTGTGGACTCAGAGGCAACTGATCAATGACTCTTTTTCATCATTGATGTTTCCAGCTCTCTCTCCCTCTCCCATCCCCTCTGAAATCAATAAAAATATATTTAGAAAAACCAACAAAGTGGTAATCTCTTTGACTATATCACTCATCTATTTAATGCCTTAAATATCTTTTAATTCTTTAGAGCTGTCTTATAATGATTTTTTTAAATTTCAGAAATAGGTTTTAAGTTATAATAAAAAATTCTTAAAAGGAAATATTCTTTATGCTATGAGTAAATAAGATTCAAAGTCCAATTTATTTAATTATTTTAAATTGCATGCTTTTGATTTTAAGTATACCAAAGAAGTTTGCTTTGTGCAACATAATGGTTAAAAGGAAACATTCAAAATTTGTGAGAGTTGGTTCTAGTGACAATTCTGATGTCCACTTTAACTGAAGATAATAATGACTGACCATACCATGAAAAGGCATCCCAAAAGTAACTCTTCCACCTTTTAACTGTGATCCCAAGATGGCTTCAGTTGATTACATAATTTGTTTTAATATTATAATCAATACTATTAGAATATTCTCAAAACTTCAAGTCAATTTTAAATAGTTTTACTGATCTTGCTGACCCCAGTGGTAGATAAATACAAACATACCTGTACTCAGAGCAGAGAATGCAATATGTAGCATGTAAGTAAAAGAGACATGCCAACCTGGTTGTCTTGGCCCCACAAGTGTCCTCTGCTGAATTCATGTCACCCCAGCCGGGGTTTCTACGACTTTGCCGCAGGGTGACCTCAGCAACACCATCACGTCGCTCTGGCCATGGAACCCTGTGGACCTGAAGAGATCCCTCACTCTTAGACTTTGGGATCTAGAAAATAAAATTTAAAAGAGAGAGAGAGAGAGAGAGAGAGAGAGAGAGAGAGAGAGAGAGAGAGAGAGAGAGAGAGAGAGAGAGGAATTAAAAATAAAAAGAATCTTCAAATTAAGTTACTGCAGAATATTTATTATAATTTATTAATAATCACATGCATTAACACTCCAACCTAGATATGGATTTTATAAACCTAGGTATGGAATTAAAAATACATTTAAAAATTCTTATATAGCAGTGGGCACAGTGAAGGGGAATGTCTGAACCATATATGGCCAGACCCCTCTCTCCAGGATTCTGATACAAATCTTCCTCAGGCCTAACACTCCTTAGAATAACCATTCTATGTAATGAAGATTTTAAGAGTATATCAGACTGCAACATGGAGTGAAGAAAATAACATAAAGAAAGAGGCAGAAAAATAAAAGGTTGAAAATCACTGAAATAAAGAATGCCAATGTCAGAAAGGTATCTAGAAATATTTACTATCAACAACAAGCTTCACACCAGTTTGTTAATTATTTCTATTGGAATTCTCTTAACACAAGCACCAAATATCTGGTGTACTGACTTCTCATAGCTGAAGTTATATGCTCCCTCCAACCTCAAGCTCTCTTATTCTAAACTGTAAAGAAAGTGAATACAACCAATATTCTTTTCCTAAAAATGTATATAAATCATGTCAGAATTTCAGGAATATTTCAAACCCTTGGATCAACTTTATTTGTTACACTGGAAACTTCTCCTCATACCTAGAAGTTTTCTTATGCTGGTTTTTCCACCTGCAATGCTATCAATTCATCACTGGCCACTCAACAACTATGTAAGATCAAACCAAACCCTAAGTTCCCTTGAAGTTGATATAAGAATCCACTACCCAAAAAGGTTCTTCAACAACCAGGTCTTAACCAGCTTTCCCAACTCTGAATTCCTGCAGCCCTATCTACACTTGATTACATGTCATCTGATACCTTAAGTTTACTTCATAATTATGCTGCCTAACATTTCTAGATTATATTACCTCAACCAGATCCTCATGCTCTTCCTATTTCTCTTCTTCCATCCCTTTTTCTCCTCTTCCTCTTCTCTGTGTTATTTTTTTAAAATATTTTTACCATAAAGTATAGCAATGTTTTGAACCCACTAATACTTATTCTCAGACAACACATATTTCAATTACAAGATATTCCCAAATCACTCACTGGCCAAGAGGCTGAGACAATTATGTATATAAGTATATGAAAATTCCTATCTCTAAGAGAATTACATAAAAATAATTTAGCACGCTGGCCTGTGTGACTCAGTTGGAGCATCAACCTGCTGTTTTTCTGATGTAATTAATTGAGTACAAATGTGTTAACTTTGAGAAAAAGGAAGAGATCACTTATTTTACTGTATGTGGAATTGAGCTTTTCAGGAACACGTGATCTTAGCCTTGGCCTTAGAAAGCAGGCGGAGGGGATAGTTTTATTTCTATGCTCCTGGGTGTCCATTTCAGATTGTATACAGTTGAGTGGTGAACTCTGAGTGGTGCTCAAGGCCCCTTTCACCACAGAACTCTCTGAGGGGGAGGAGGAGCAGGACACCTGGCAGCCAAGCCCCAGGGGACAGGGAACCTGTTATTAGTGTGGCTTTCAGCAGAGGTTCTCACTTGCAGGCAATTTTGTGTGTAGATGTTTTTGGTCCTCATGACCGGAGTGAGGGTGTTTGCTATTGGAATCCAGTGGGTGGAGGCCAGGGATGTGACTAAATATCCTACAATGCACAGGCCAGCTTACCAGGAAAAGAAGTTATTTGGTCTAAAATGTCAGAAGAGCTAAAGTGGAAAAACCCTGCTTTAGAGGAAATGGTAAGATGAAACCTGTATCGAGGCCACTCCTCCCTTGTTATACTTTTCTTCTCGTTCCATCTGCCTTTCCTTGCCATTGGCATGTTAAGATGTCATGGGTCAAGATCAACTTTAGCAGCAAAGGGTCACGCAAGGCACGTAGGCCTGCCTTGTGTAGGCGAGTGTGACTCGTGCATCATGAGGTTCCGCTGAGCTCTGATGGGCAGGGAATCCAGCTATGGCCAAAAGCCTGACTGTGATGACCTGAGTGAGTGTGTCTGGAGAGGCCACCTGCAGCCGTCTTCATACTGTGTGGCTGCAGCAGGAAAATGGCCACCAGTTTGGATTCTGACTCGGTGGCCAGCTCCCTCTTTCCCTTATTCACACACTTGGCTTCTTATTTTAGCAATTTCTTCACGATAACTTGGATATCTGAAAGTGAAAACGATAAAAGCCCCCAAACCACCTAAGAAAAGCATTTTGCTCAGAAGAATTCTACACTGGCTATTTGAGATAAGGATCTAAGCACATTCTCTCTGTGTAATTTATGTGTACAACTAAAATACTAAAAATTCCAGAAACTTAAAAAGAGTGCATTCCATGCATGTATTTGCAGGTATGGAATAGTCTGATCGAGAAGTTCAGTGATCTTAGTATTTGAGATGCCACAGGAATGAAAACAAAAGAATAACTTTTGAGAATATAAAAATCAGGAAATATTCTCTTAGATGCTGTAATAAACATTTAGGGAGCATTTACTCCATGCTAGGCATGTTTTCAAGAGATTTACATAAATGAATTCTCACAGCAAACCAAAGAGACAGGGAATATTATTATTATTACCATTTACAGATGAGAAAATTGAGGGATAAAGAGTTTGAGCTATTTGTGGCAGAGTTACAATTACAATCCAGATAACCAACCCTCAGTACCTGTGCTTACCACTAGTCTCTATATTTGGTTTCAGGTTAAGTATTAGAATTGCAAGAAGAAAATACAATTTTGGATAAAAGTCACATTACAGCCCATAATGCAACCCATTTTCTGCACTGTCTCTTTTCATTTGCATTAATAATTAAAAATTTCCTTAAATTTATTTCTCTGGTGTCTGCTAAACCATTCTAGTAAAATAATCTGAGGGGGAAATCAGATATGAGGTGAAAATTATATGGAAAATGTGTTTATCATACTTTTATTAGTAATAGGCAAAACTGTAAGCATTCTAAATAGCCAAATTACCACAATAGGTGATTTTGGCACCTCTATATGATGAAGAATTATTCAGCCATTACAATGTCTATAAGGTTTTTAAGGAGACTGAAATCATTTTGCCAAGACATATAATATGGTTAATGCTCAGTTAGCAATAAAAATGCATTCAGGTAGCTATATTCCTTCAATATAATTTGGATCATCCCCATTCTTCAAACTGACATGAATACATTTCAAAGGCCAACACCCAAATTCTGTTATGGTCAACATTACAAATATTTTCAGATAATTTAATCTTTAAAAATCGAACAAAGAATCCAGTTCCTGAAAAATATATTGGTGATAGGAGGCTCTCATTTTCCCCGATACCTGAATGTGACTAAAAATTAAAAAAAGTCGCAAGAAATTACGTGCCCTGACTTCATCTTTATCCATATAAGCCTGTCACGTGAGGGCACAACAGTAAGCCATGGCTGCAGGCCCTCTGCCTCCTGCGCTGGTGCAGGAGGAGCCGTCTGCCCTGCGGCATAGAACATGGGAGTGGCAGGTGCAGCCCAGGCAGAGGGGCGGTTTTCTGGCCGGGGACCTGCAATTTGTGGCTCTTTCCTTTGTGTAGGTGAGCCGGGTTTCCCACATATTACGTTTCTTCCCAGAAAAGTAATGTGCACATGGATCAACTGCAGGAAATTATTATAATAATTTACTATGCTATTATAAAATAGTAAATAATACTTTTTAAAGATTATTATAATTAGGACAATTTTAAAAGCTTAAGTATAACAACCTAATGTTTTGGTCTTAGAAATCACCTTAAACACTGGTCAGTTACTGTGCTTGCATTTTGAAATGACAAAATCTACTCTTTTCATCATTGAAATACCTTGAGAGATGATTAGAATAGGGCAAAAATTAATATTCAGGGCTCATATGCTAAAGAAAGATTGTGATAGAAAGAAGAAAGCAGAGATGTTAATTTTTAACATTTAGACTTTCTAAATAAAGTTTATTAGACGCCCTCATATGCTTAACCTTTTCTCTCCACCTCTTGTCCTTTTATGGAAGAGGATAAAGCCTCTTGCTTCCCTTCATACTCATTAAACTCAGAATCTTCATAAGAAGAAATGGTGAAATAACAAAGCACCAAAAGAGAGAGATTTAGCTCTCATAGATTTTTAAAGTTAGGCCTTTCCAGCTTAAAACTTAAAAAAAAAACCCTCTAACTCAGACAGCGTGGCTCAGTGGTTGAGCATGGACCTATGAACCAGGAGGTCACAGTTCGATTCCTGATCAATGATTCTCTCTCATCATTGATAATTCTCTCTCTCTTTTCCTCTCCCTTTCTGAAATAAATAACTTGACCAATCTATATGTGCTAACCACAGTGCTACTCAATGCTCCAGGTTTTGTTTTGTTTTTCTGAGAAAATTATTAACATGATGTGGGGAATTTTAGAATTAGTTTTTTGCACATCCTTTTCTCTTTCTCACTCTTATTTTTCTTTTCTTATAAAAATGGGTCAATGTTAAAGTTATAACTTACTAAGATCTCATCTTTTTAAAAAATGTATTTTATTGATTTTTTACAGAGAGGAAGGGAGAAGGATAGTTAAAATCATCAATGTGAGATAAACATTGATCAGCTGCAACCAAAGTACATGCCCTTGACGGGAATCAAACCTGGGACCCTTCAGTCCGCAGACTGACGCTCTATCCATTGAGCCAAACCGGTTAAGGCAGAGATCACTACTTAACCTAAGTGAGAGTGAATCTATATGTTAGCATAAAGTCAGTTTACTGGTAACTTAGTCTGCTAGAAAAATTACTCATATGTGAAAAGAAAGAAAATTCACAATTTAAAAAAGTTCATCTTGAAATTCACTGGTAAGCTGTGAAACCGATACAGGTTCACGGTGTAGCCCAAGCAACCAACAGGCTCCTCAGCATTTGGTTTTTCTCCT